ACACACACACACACACACACACACACACACAGCTCATTACATCAGAACCGGTTTTGATGAAGAGAAATCTGAATCGATGCTCCGCAGAAACAAAAACATTTTTAAAGATTAATTTGATCTCTGGATAAAAAGTAAATCTTCACCCTGAGAGTAAAAACCTGATTCTGTAGTTGATCAGTTTATAATTGATCAGTTTATAATTGATCAGTTTATAATTGATCAGTTTATGATCAGATGGATCACCTCAAACAGATTCACTTATTTCTGCTGTGCTGCAGCAGGATTCATGTCGATCCATGGAGTTTGGTGAACGGTTCTGGTCGGGTCCGTTTCTCTCACAGCTCAGATCCATTTTAACTTAACGAATGAACATAAGCAGCGTTTTCTGTCCTTTGGTGTCAAATGTTCTCATGAGGGCTAATTTACCAAGAATCAGATAAATTAACTCCTTAAATCTCGTTTCCATGGTGAAACAGGTTATTTTTAATAAATTCAGTTCAGATTAAAAATCTTCTCTGAATAGCAGAAAAACCAACATCATAGAGCAGGATTCATTTTTATTCTGCCTCCGTCTGTCGGCACATTAATCCTGAGAGAGACATGCTAACGAGGCTAACGAGGCTAACAAGTGTGTGAAGGAGCTGCTTTCGCTCCCACAGCTCTAATTATCTCATTAATCACCGGCGGAGCGGCAACATGGCAACATGGCAACATGGCGGAGCGGCAACATGGCGGAGCGGCAACATGGCAACATGGCGGCGCCTTTCATCCAAACGCTTCCAACCAAATCAGGTTTTACTGAAATGAAACTCGGATTAAGATGCAGATTCGATGTTTTCACCAAACAGGAAATCCTGCTTCAGCTTGAAAGGAGGAAAAGAGTCGGACCCCAGCAGTAAGACAGAAATCAATAAACCTGTAGAAAAATAAAGAAAACAAAGAATAAAACAGGAAGTGACTTTTATAAAACATATAATTTATTTTCTGATCTGTTTTTTCTTTTCTGTCCCTAAAAGCTGTTTTTGTTTTTTTATTTTTTTCAAATGTACTCTTATTTGTACTAGACAAGATGATTTATGTTGGTTTATGTTGTTATAAACCAGCATAAACAGGTGTTTATGTGAAAAGGTTAAGGTCTGGACTTTGACTAGGCCGTTGCAGCACACTGATTTATTTTTATCCATCCATTCTTCTGTATATTTGCTTCTTTGTTCTGTTGACCCAGTTTGGTCCAAACTTCAGCTGATGGGCGGATCAGATGGACTCTGAAGGGTTCTGGTATGTAAAGAAGAGCCCACATCATCACTCTGCCACTACCATGTTTGCCAGTCATTATGAGCTGCTTTTCATTATTGGTTAATAAATATTTATTCCGTTTTGCTCCTTAGCCGTTATAAACCAACATAAAAGTTACGGATCGTTTCTTGTGTCTGCAGTCTGAGGTAATCCGTCCCCGGGGCCCCGGGCCCCACCACCACCGGCCCCCACATCGCTGATTAAAACAGGATGGGAGGGTTAAGAGGAAGAAGCCCCTGAGGTTTGATTCCTGTTTGAGGGAAACAAACTGAGGGAAGGAGACCCAGGAGAAATGGAGGTGAAGGTGAAGGAGGCAGAAATGAATCCCGATTCTCTGGAGGGAAAAACTCAGTTTTTATTCCTTTGGGGGAGAATCTACTTATTCTGTCCTCTGCAGGCTCCTGTAGTCGTTCTGTGACCCTAAAATATCAAAGCTGAAGTTTCCAGAGGTCATTTTTAAATAAAACGTCCAAATGATTAATGTTCCCACAGAACCAGAAGCGGTTCTGTTCAGACCAACAAGAACCCAGAGAACAGAGACACTCAGATGGATTTGGTCCGGTTCTGATGCCATCAGAACCGAACCTGAACCAGCCTGATGGACTCTGAAGCTCGTTACCGCAGAGCGCGACAGTCGGGTCGCGGTCGGGCTGAAGCTGATTGGCTCTGGCAGAGGAACGATCAGATCAGAGAGTCTCTTAACGAGGTTTTTACATTTTATGGAGCTGGGAGAAAGTAAATGAGGCGCATTAGCAGTGGCTAGTTGTTGCTTTTATGTTGTTTTGCAGAAAGGAGTGAAAAAAGCACCAAGACACCAAACAACCTGGTTTAAAACTTTTGCACGGTCCTGTCTGTGTTCTAACAGTTACAGCAGATTCATCTGGAAAACAATGTGACCGAACGAGGAAGCTGCTCTGCTGAGTCAGCAGAAACAGGGACAGCCTGACCTGCAGCTGCAGCTAATTACAGGTTTTACTTTAATTAGACCGCGACGCATGAGTGGATCATCAGCAGCAGCAGAGAGATGAAGACTGACACCAGGAAGGAGGGAGCAGAGAGGACGGTCCGTCCAACTGTCCATCAGTCTGAGACGCTTTAAATGTTCTGGAGCAAAACATTTTTAAAAAACTGGTTTTATCAAGGAGAACAGAACGATAACCGACCCGATGATTCCTCATTCGGGTCAAAGTTCCCTTTGTGCTGACGATGCTGCTTTTAGGAATTTTACTGCAGCTAAGCTGAAGCAGTCACTCCTAGGTCAAAGGTCACTTCAGAGGTTTTCCTTTTTCTCTTCCAGATGATGAAATCAGTCAGCACTTCAGCGAGGTGATCATGGTGGTCAGAACATTTCTGACAGAAGATAAAACCTCTGAGATGCTGAAGAGTCTGGATGCTGAGCGGCTGATGCGTCTCTACATGAAGGACCGAGACGCTCCTGGGGATCGGGGGACATTTGGAGGAACTCTGAGAAGAATGACCAGGAAGAGTCTTCCAGCTTTTGGAGACCAACTGGACAATCTTTGGGGAGGATTTTCATGGGTTTCATTAAGATCCTGAAGAAGTAGAACTGATCTTTAGTCATGTTGATGTTCTGAGATGTTCAATGTGACCAAGATCCCTCAGAGGAACCTTCAAGTCCAGCAGGAACGTTGGAGCCACTGACATCCTAATGGTCCTTGGACTTCTGATTATCTGGGTCATAAAATATCAGCATGGTTTAGTTTGGGCTTAGTCTGACCCAAAACATCCAGTCTAGACTAGATAGCATAGAAACAGGCTTAAGTTTGGTTCTCTACAGGAGGTTCTGACGATGGATTGGTAGAGGAGATGAATAATCAGTTACAGGTGCCACCTTCAGTACGACGGCCAGGGAGCGAAGGAGAGTCCACCAATGAAATCATCCTTAACGTCAAAGTTTAAAATCTGACAAGTCCTGATACTGGCAGGAGTTGAGCTTTATTTTGGCTAAAGCTCCATCTAGTGGAGCAGAGAGGAACTGCACCACATGGTGAGATGCATTTAGATGCAGCTGCCAGGCGGCTTTACAGAAAAATAGTTGAGGAAACTCAAGTTAAAGCCGTTTCTCCTCAGCTCCTGCAGCTTGACCTTCCTACAGGGAGACTGGATGGTATTTCCAGACAGGAATCCGGTTTTAATGAGTCAGTTGACATTTAAACTGTTTCTTTCCCCTCTTCAAGCTGAACCCAAACCAGGATGATGGAATAGCCTGAAAGAATCCAGTAAATGAAGCTAAATGTTGTCTCTGCAGCCCATTGGAGTGTGTGCAGCACAGCGAGCAGCTCAGAGGGCGAGAGAGCATTGGATGAAGCAGAGCGAGAGAGAGGTCGGCTCAGCGGAGGAGCCGGAGAGCGAGAGATCGGAGCGAAGCCTCGACGAGAGCGGCTCTGATGTTCACGCTTCCTCTCAGCGACCTGACAGAGCGGCTCAGCGTCAAACACCGAACCAAAACCCAGCAGAAACGACAGTCTGAGGAAAATCACAGCAGAAACTCTGAACAAGAAGAGCATCCAAACCTTTAGATTCCCTATGAAACAGCAGAGGTCGGACATTTCAATCATTAGCAGCAACGTTTGGGCCAAAAACCAGAAGAAACACACAGTGAGACTTCATTAACTGTGTGTTCTGTATGTTAGTTGATATTTTATGGCCAGATTGATCTGGTTGTCAGACATTTTAGCTAAAAATGAAAGGTCAAAGGTAGAGATGAAGACCAGAAGTTGGGTTCAGTCATGACTGAAGTCAAATCAGAGATAAATCTACAGTTGGGCTACAGTCGTTTTCTACACATGTTCTTCTTCTTGCCAACATTTACCTGCTGTTGTTTGTCTAAAGGTTTCTGTTACAGGAAGGCCAGCAGAGAAGCATCGTCCCTCCAGTGATGCTTCTCCAGAGGAGATCCCTGCTGGGTTTCCCCCCATGGGATGTGACTGGAATACCTCACCAGAGAGACGTTCATCCTAACGAGGCATCTTAACCAGACGCCCAGGTCAACGGGATCGTCTCCATGTGAAAGAGCAACAGCTCTACTCTGACTGAGCTTCTCCTATCAGAGAGAGCCCAGATGGTTCATCAGTCATCTACCGATCGACTTCATGCATGAACAAAACCCCAAAGAACTTTGGTTTCCCGGTTTGATTGGGAACAAAGTTGCAGCCTTTGTTTTATTATAAACTGTTGTGGTTAACCTTCACACTTCAACGTGTCAAACCAGCCGATCTGTTAGACAAACCGGTTCCCTCATCCCGACCCAGAGGAGGAACTCTGTTCCGGTTCTGGGTCTGAGAGCAGCCATGTCTGATGGTGGAAACATGTCTGAGTTTAAAGCAGTTTAAACCTGCTGAGCTGCTGCTTCTTGTTTCCATAGGAAACTCAGACCGACTTCCTGTCGTGTTTCTGACCTTCATTGACGCGGCGTCAGTCAGAGCAGCAGCCTGTCTGTTCAGCTGCGACGCCATGATGTGGCAGCGCTGACACAGTCTCTGCTTCTCCTCCTCCGGCTTGCCGTAGCTGCTCAACTCTCCAGCTGACAGCGAGCCTTCGGGGTTGGGCCGCCGGGCGCAGCTCCTCCGGGCCTCGTCCTGCCCGCCGGACGAACGCAGGCGTTTCCTGCGACATGCGGAGCCCAGAGGCAGAGGACTCTGCCCCTCCACCACCTGTTGCCAGAGAGACGAGGATTTTATTCTTTCAACCTGGAGAGTGGAGACCCGGCAGTAACGGCGCCTCAGTCACCTGAAAACCACAGCTTTCCAACTAAAATTAAACATATTAGTCAAACACTTTATTTACCATTACTGTGAAACTTATCGGTGCGTCTGCTGATGTCTTTATGTCTTTCACAGCGAGTCTCTAAAAGTAACAAGACAATAAAGAGAACTGGAACACATTGTTATTAAACCTGCTGCTAATAAATAACATTTAATTCATGGAGCCAAATGAATGTTGGTGAATCTTACTGAAAATTATAACTTTTGATTTAGTTCTGCAGAAATTCCTGCATCTGAAAGATATTTTGATCATTTAGTGTCCAAAAGAATCTGTTGATTATTTCTTCAATCTAAATTAATATTAACTGATTTCATACCAACATCAGTATAGAAGTATTACATTTCACTCTCTAAAATCTACTAGATTCATTACATAACGTTAAACTTTTAATGATTTTGACTTATTGTTCCCAGACAGGTCTGTTTAAACCTGATGCAGGTTTTATTTAATCTAATAAAGGGTTCAGTACTCACCGTGTGCCTCCTGCAGTCCGGCCCGCGTCCCGCCGCTCCGGTCCAGAACTGTGAACACATTTCAGCTAAAACCCTCCAGTCGGACCTGAACTCTGCATCAGACGAGCCTCAGAGACTCTGATGAAATGTTTTAACACAGCAGAAATAAAGGAGGAGAGGTTCTGACGGATCGGAGGAGAACAACCACCGAGGCGTGAAGTTCAGACCGACAGAGTTACACAACGATGAGCAGAGACTCTGCATGACTGAGCACAGCTAATCGGTTAGCATTAGGGAGGCTAACTGGCTCATATCATCTATATTTAGCTGTTAATTTTCCTTTATCATCTTTACTATCTATAATCAGCTCATCCTAAATGCTGCTGCCCGAGTCCTGACCAACACCAGGAAAACTCAACTTTCATTGTTTTTTGGTTTTCAAAAATAAAGACAACATCTGTTGTGTTGATGTTACTATAATTACATCAATAGATGTTATTCTATTTTACATTTTTAACCACTGATCAGTGCCAGATGTTCTACTGTTGTTATGCATAATAATAAACGCTTATAGTTGAAAAATTCAAAATAAAAAAAATTCAGTTATTATGTATAGCATCATGGAATTTACACCTGAGTAGGACAGTGAAACAATATATTTTCAAAATGTGTTTGTGTATTTCTGGATTGAAAGTCAGAGGAATAAACAGGAAGGATCTATGATTACGCTCCTTAGTGCACATCATAAATCATTCGAGTTTTATTTGTTTTTTTATTCTGTATCCGTTGCAAAAATTTCAAATTATCATGGGATAAAATCACATAGCAAAGTGCTGTTTTTGAACATCATGTAGTAAATCTGAAGCTGAACCTTCTGCTAAACAAAAGATTTGATGTCTATGGTTATAATGGCAGCAGCAGTGAAACTCGATGCTTGTCAAGAGACATTTTTTTGAGTAATTTTTGCCTTAACCAACTCTGAGACAAAGATGACAGGAAAGAAAATCCTCAGAGTCAATCAGGACTGTGAGGTCATTTCCGGGAAACAATTTGAAATCAACGTGAAAACACAAATCTTTCTCAGAAGAAGAATGAGAGGCATAAAGTCTCATGAGTGTGAACGCTTGAGTATGACTTAAATAACACGAGGTTGTAAAAGTCTACCCTCAGCAAAATGCTTAGAAATAAACAGTAATTTAAACAATGCTCAACATACAGCAGTCACTGCAGCAGCATGTTTCCATGCTGCCGTTGCAATTTACACACAAAATCAAGCACAACTATTACCGTGAGTTTTATTAGAAGTTGCTAATAAAACTCATTACAGTTGGGTGGATTTTACAGGTTTTACTGAAAAATGTCAAATCTGGCAACCCTGCCAAACGGCGCCATTTTTGTCATTAATGACCAAGGCGCATGCGCCGTGCTGGACAGAAATATGACGCAGCTTCGACGTAAGTGTTTTTTAATAAGGTGCAGCTGGCACCTGATTGCACGGACACGCGAAACTGGCGTCTGATATTCATGAACTTCGGAACCATTTTCTGATCTCCAGAGAGAAGGAATCCGCGTGGACGCCCAGCGAAATGACTGAAAACTTTTATGGATACAACTGAAATTGTGTCGGTGTTTATCGAGGCCTAGACTGGCGCCTCGTACTTGACCTGCGAGTAGGCGGCGGGAGAGCCATGTTTGAAATCGCTGCGTTTGTCATTCGGTAAGTTCGTTTCGGGAAACCTCATTATAAGTTGTTTCTTTTCCCGATTACATTATTGAAGCATTTTTTGTGTCTAAACAGGGCAGCAAACAAGAGACCGACCATGGCCTCTCAGTGGTGGTTTGACTGGTGGCGTCCCTGAAACATTTGAGGAGAAATAATGGCGTCTGGAGCTCGCAGTTGATCGATTATGGATTCCCTTCAATGAAGCTGAGGATCGCTTCCGTCAAGCTGAGGAATCGCTACAAGGTGCCTGGCGGATCCGCCCAACTCATCAAAGGTTGGTTAAGTCAAAGAACTGTTCCAATGGCGGGTCCAGAAGACATCTCGGGGTAGGAGCTGTTGCGGGTTTTGCTGTGCTGTGCTGCTGATGCTTTGTTGAGGGCCAACGCCGCTTGGCCTCTTGCTTGCTGGTTTGGATTGATTCTCTGCTGAGAGTCAATGAGCTGAGAAAGATTCTGCTGTTTTAAATCCTTCTGTCTTTGGGTTTTTTTGGTGTTCAAAGCGGTTGCTGTGGTCTTGTGACCTGTAATGGTTTAGGTGTAACTGGACTCTGATATCTAGAATTTGAAGTTCCTGGCTTAAGTTGAGGTGAAAGAAATATGGCTGCCAATGCTTTGGCAAATAGTTTAGATGTTGTGATTCTGCATAGGTTTAATATACCTTGATGGTATACGTACTGATTTAAAGCGGCTATATTGACATTAATATAGCTGCATTGAGATGATATTTGTCTTTCTGATGAATATTTTTGTTTTTAGTGAAAATAAGGTACTTGCATTTTAACATGCATACATATATTTTTATTTTTTCTACTTAATATTTGATATTTAATCTAAATGTTTCAAAGACAGGGTCCATACTTTAATAATTTAATAAGTCAAACGAATTTCATTTACGTTCAACAATTTAACCGTTTAAACCGTTTTTTGCGCCAAAACAACGCGTGTCCTCTTGCGATTTCATCATGCGATTTCATTTCTTCTGGATGACGGACAACGGAGGGATCACCTGGAGCTGCAGGCCAGAAGTCGGAGGTAAAGTTCACACTGTAATCCACCATCTCTTGCAGGTTTTCAGCTGAAAAGAGGATCGACTGGGACCTGTCCTTCAATGTTTAAGTCTGTTTCTAACCCACTTTTTCTCTTAGAGGAAGCTACTGGTGGACCTTTTGGTGTGAATAACTACTTTTTTCTCATAGATAAAGCCACCCAAGGAGCTTCTACTGCAACTAACTTTTTTTTTTTCCTATAGAAAAGCAGCTCTTTTTCCTTTTCTGTCTCTTTATACTGTCCTTTCAAATCCCCCGGGGGTCGTGACAGATGGCTTTTCATACAGAGCCAACTTCTGGTTCTGCTGGAGGGTTCTTCCTGTTAAAGGGAAGTTTATCCTCTCCACTGTCACTACATGCATCCTCAATATGAAGCATTGATCTAGCTTACTTAACTTCTAACCAATTTAAATAATTGGTGCAGCGTTGGCCTTTTATTTTTTTTGGAAACGCTTCCTGTTAAAGGGAAGTTTTTTCTCTCTAGTCATCACTTGTATCCTCAGTAGGAGGCATTGCTTAAGCTTTGCTTTTAATGAATTAAAAAAAAATTGGTGCAGCATTAGCCTTTTATTTTTTTGTGGAAAATCTTCCTGTTAAAGGGAATCTTTTCTCTCCACTGTCACCAGCATCCTCAGCATGTCTGTGGTGATGGATAATAGTTTTCAGCTCATGATTGAGAATTTAAGGCCTTGTCAACACCACATGCAATATGGACTGGGAAGATAGGGAAGCCGAACAACAGTTTTTGTCAATATGGAGAATCTGAAGACACCAGATGGCCTCAGATGGGCAGGAAATGTGGTTTGCTCGTTCCAGTAGCCACTCCTCAAGGCTATGAAGTCATCGGATGAGTTCAAGGAAATTGGTAACAAATGAGTGCATTGAAAAGGTCAATCCATTCCACGTACAATGCTCCATGCAAGAAAAACATGTCAGGCCATTTGGGAGTTCTGATTTTGGGTACTACAATGTACCCAAGATCAGAAAGAGAGCCAGACTGTAGAGTAAATGGCTTGGGTTTCCCTTCAGTCGATTTTGTGTGGAAATGAACCCGATTGACAGGAACCAAAGGGTTAGGGCTACAATTTGGTTGGATTTGTGTTGAAACCTGACCAAAGGTTTTAAACAAAACCCTTTACCTGCATGACGGGTAAAGGGTTTGGGTCACCCTTCGGTTGGGTTTGAGTGAAAATGAACCTGACCGACGGGTAAAGGGTTTGGGTCACCCTTCGGTGGGATTTGAGTGAAAATGAACCTGACCGACGGGTAAAAGTTAGTTGCCCTTCAGTCTGGTTTGAGTGAAAAACTTGGCTGACGGGTAAAGGGTTTGGGTCACCCTTCGGTTGGGTTTGAGTGAAAACGAAACCAACCGACAGGTAAACGTTAGTTACCCTTCAGTTGGGTTTGAGTGAAAATAAACTTGGCTGACGGGTAAAGGGTTTGGGTCACCCTTTGGTGGGAATTGTGTGAAAACGAACCCAGCTGATGGGTAAAATGTTGGGTCACCCTTTGGTTGGGTTTGAGTGAAAACGAACCTGACCGACGGGTAAAGGGTTTGGGTCACCCTTCGGTTGGGTTTGTGTGAAAATGAACCTGACCGACCGGTAAAGGGTTTGGGTCACCCTTCGGTGGGATTTGAGTGAAAATGAACCTGACCGACCGGTAAAGGGTTTGGGTCACCCTTCGGTGGGATTTGAGTGAAAATGAACCTGAC